AATGAGTAGAAAGTCATGAAGACTTTAATCTCAACGAACGAGTAAAAAATTACACAGATTTTGATCTCGAAGCAGGAGTAGAAAATCACGAAGATTTTAATCTCCATAATGGGTGTAGAAAATCACAAAAATTTTAATCTCCAATACAAGGGTTGGAAAAAGTATTTTTAATTTTCTTTCCAAATGGCTTTCCAACTAAACCATTATAAACCCTAAACATTTCTAACAGTTTGATATATTTTCTTATCAAACAAACATATGTATATCATAAACAACTACTAAATTAAAAGTAGTTGACACAATTTTCTGTAACACCCACAGAAAAACTTAGACTGCCGCAAATATATACACTCACATGTATGTATATATAAATCATGGTGAGAATAAAGTATACAAAGAAAACATTATACAATAAAACTCTAAAGCCACTCGCTACTTTAGAACTTCTCCCTTAAAGAAGAAAATATGATCAACTAGTTTTAATTCAAACCATAAGTATATATAAAAATTCATGCACTTGGTGGCGTGCTAAATTTCATGTCCCTGCTTTCCGTATATTAATACCAATAATCTCAACATATGAGATACCAGTTAATCAAATATGGATAGGAGATTTATAGCAACAGAAGCTAGGCGGCATTAAAATTGGAACTTTAAATAGTTTTAGTCCCATTCTAATTCAAATTCTTTCCATGAAACGGTACAAAATTATTTGGGATATAACTGACTGTTCTACAATATACATATAAAATATCATCTTTATGATCTCGACATAATTTTCAAGTATTTAACGTAAGTCTAATGTCTTAGTTTCTTGAAAATACCACGCATGCTACCAAATTGTATACCAACAAACAAATTTCTTTTGGTAAACCGAATAACATAATTATCCTTTAACCATGTATTATTTCTCTACTCATTAGCATGCGAAGAGAATATAATTTTGAGATCATTAAAAAATAATTATCTATCCTAATATTTGTAGAAACTGAATCCATAAATCATATAGGACAGAAAATTAATTAAAGATGAGTAAAGTAAAGAAATTTGGAACCCGATTTATCGTTAAACAGTTCCGATCACTCCAAGCAATGGCCGAAAAATCATGTCATTTGATGCGTTTGAAGATAACTTTTTATCAGTCAAATGGTGCTCAAGCGTGGATATCTTTTGAGTGCATTGCTGTCTGTAACAAATATCCTTCCGAACAGTATTCGCGCCTCACAAATTTTGGCTTTAAAATTCGACTCGTTATCATTGTCCGAATTGGTTTTGCTTTCTTCTTTTTCCAATTTTCTCAAGTTGACGTTATCCTTTCTTGAGTTTCTCAATTTAACTTTGAGAAGATGTAAGGATCAGCCGCATCGTTTGGTCCAAACTTTTGTTTATCCTTTTGTTCTCAAGTTCTAGTCCTTAACCATAAAGGACAAATGTTCCTTGAAAGATTAATTATCCAAATGAAAGCCCCAAACAAACGATGAATGCACTGATCTGCTTGAAATTTCTCTATTAATCATCCGCCAATGATTATCTTACTGGTTTAGTCTCCAACAAATACATGTTAAGACAAACACAATAAACAATTAAATTCCTTAATATTGTTGGTATTACTGTATTCAAAATTAGAAAATCAGAAAATCAGAGAAGCAAACAAACGTTAGTTCGATAAACAAAATCGTAAAATAATTCCGAGCTCACTGAATGCACAGTGTGTCCTTAAGGAATTTAATCCCCTCACTGTTGCCCAAGGTATATGGATTAATTCCTCCCAGGATAGAACGGAATAACTATTATGTGATAGCGACACTTCAAATCACAGAACTTCAGCGAACTCAACAAACGGAGCAAATCACACACGACACTTATGTATATTTAGAAAATAATGCAACAATGTAGAAAAGAAAAAGAAGATTTCAAATTTTCCATGTCATAAAAAATGAGGCCAAGCCTCTAAATTTATAGACAATGAAAGGGTGAGATGAAGAGATGCAATTCAAGAGGTGCCTCTTCCATTTTCCATTCACACCCCTCAATAAAAACGCAACATGAATTTCACTAAGTTGTCCATTGATATCCCTAATGATATCAAAGAAAATATTTCTAAGGTTAGAATTCGATCAAAGGTCCTACAAGGGATGTTCCTATATGATCGTTAACTTCTAAGACTTGCTACAACCTAATTGAAACCCCTTTGCGTAGCCAACTGGATTATAATTGGATCTGGGATTTATCTTGCCCAAACAAGATAAAATTCTTCTTCTGGCAATGCCTTCACAATAGATTCCATGTGGAAAATACCTAGCTCATATAGGTATTAATATAGACCCATTGTGCCCTATTTGCGATTTGAGAGAAGAAGAATCTATCACTCATATCTTCTTTCACTGTAAAGCCACCAAATTCCTGTGGGATAATATGGGATGGTCAAATTTTATAATCCAGCGGGTGAACACTGGCTTCTTCAACTAAGAAATTTTGATTGCTCATTAAGTAGTAAGTATAACAAATGGAATTCCTTCTTTCCATTTGCCCACTGGCATATATGGGTAAACAGAAATACAAACAACCAAAACAACACTAGCAACCCCATTAAAAAGCTACTGAATTCATTCTTCTTACTGAAAATAGTTTTGTCCCTCTAAAGAAAATTCCCTTCCAAGTAAAATGGCACAAACCTCCTGAGGGTTGGTTTAAATTAAATATTGATGCTAGCTTTAGAGACAGCTATCAAAAGAGTGGCCTGGATTTGCTCAGACTTTTTCCGACGATGGATCTTTTGGACGGACTCTGGATTTGCTGGGCACAGATTGCTCATATGACCCTCTCCACATACTTCACAAAATATTTGAACTTGTTGCACTGGCTGGGCTTGTTGCTTGTTAATGATCATGGTCATCTGATTGACTTGGTTGGTCAGCGTAGAGACCTGTGCTGACAATGCTGAGACAACATCTAATTCGAGAACCCCTGGTGATTTTTGTACCATATTCCTACCCATCTCTCCTTGCCAATCCGGATTGCTTTTGGAGAATTTGTTCAATAATGCATAAATTTCATCAAAGCTTTTCTCCAATACTTGACCTCCAGCTGCAGCATCTACTACAATTTTTGTTTGGGGATGGAGCCCTTCTATGAAAGTGTGAACTAACACTTCATTCGTCTGATTATGATGAGGACAGTCTCTGAGTAGCCCCTTGAACCTTTCCCAAGCTGAGTATAAAGATTCTCCTGCTTTCTGTTTGAAGGCAACTATCTCACTTCTGATCTTTGCAGTTTTGCCTGATGGAAAGAACCTTGCCAGAAATTTTCTTGCCAAATCATTCCATGATGTAATGGAATTAGCTAGTTCTGCCTTTAGCCATCGCTTAGCTTCGCCCAACAGAGAGAATGGAAAAAGTGTGAGCCTCACATAATCTGTAGTGACCCCGTTAGTGATATAAGTATCACTAATCTCCAAGAAGTTCAGAATATGCTGTTGTGGATCCTTGTGTGGAAGACCCATAAACTGCCCGTTTGCATGAAGTAGCTGGATCATGCTCTGTTTCAGCTCAAAGTACCCAGTGATCCTGGGCTTCACTATACTGGAGGTGACATTAGCAATGCTGGGCATCGCCACCTCCTGAACAGTCATGTGTTGCTCCTCTGCCATGTTCACAGGAAATTGAATGAGTGCTTGAATATTGTTTGTATCCCTTGCTTCCCCCAACCTCCTGTGATGTTTTCTCAGGTTCGGGGTCAAAGCCGTTGAGTCTGTCCTGGCTTCTGACCCTACGCATTCAATCAAAGTTTCTGAGATTAGAGCAACAATCAAGTAACGTTAAACTAGACGAAATAAACAATTAAAGCAAAAACTAGAAAGTAGTTTATATTCAAGTCCCCGGCAACGGCGCCAAAAACTTGTTGCTCCCAAACGCACACGCAAGTATACGTGGTCGACAAGTAATATAGGATTATAAGTCCAGATATCGTACCCACAGGGACTTGTATAAACTACTCAATAAATCACTAAATTGTTATTCAATCCAGCTAAAATCAAAGTCCAATAATATGATTATATTATACTACGATTCTAAACACTAACTAAATTATCAAGTAACGAGTTGATTGTTGTGTATTCAGTAGAGACAAGTATTCCAGGGTTGTGATCGATTCACCAATCGTATTGTGTTCTAATTAACTCTCCCCTTCATATAATTCACTCATGGTTGCTAATTAATCGATAAATGCTCTCATAGCCTTCTCCCGAAGTACTACTCACCTATTCTCAATAGATTAACGCCTATATTCCTATGAAATCAATCTATTAAGAACGCATTAAGATATTCTTGCTCCTCAATGTTTCTTGCGTGTGTCTTTACTCCAAAAATGGCATCCCCACCCCCCCCACCCCCTTCAAAATAGGTTTAGTCTTGCTTTTGTACGTGTTGGATAGGTCTAGGGCCGAAATAACCTTGTTCCGGGCGAAATAGGATAAAATTCACGTCACCGGCGCCCAGCCCGGCGCCAGGCGCCCTCCATAGCGCCCCCAATTTGTGCATATTGTTTTTGGCGCCACAGGTGGCGCCAGGCGCTGCCTGTGGCGCCCAACTGGCTTCCTTTTCTGATTTTGTTCGTTTTAGCTTCAAATCTTGCACGTTTTGCCGCCAATTGCTCCCGAATCATTCCTACAAGTAAAAACACTTCAAATTAATATTATTCATAGCATTTAACATCCCAAATTCACGAAACAAGAGTAAGATATGAGGCGATATACATAAAAATATATATGCTTTAAGTTAAGCATCATATTCCGTAATACAAAAGGAAGTTGGGTGGTTGGTTTTACAAAATCTACATATGCAAACGGATCATTAGAAGCAGAAATTAAGGCACTTCTTCAAGGGCTTAAGACAACACATGAATGGGGAATGTTTCCACTGGAAATAGAAAGAGACTGCAGAGGTAATCCGCTCTATACAACATGGCAATATATTATATGATGATCTTGTTAATAAATGCAGGTTGTAAATGCACCGGGAGAAGGTAGTGCTCCTCCGGCACGTATTCAGGCAAGGGAATAACGTGTCACATCATCTGGCGAAGGAGGCAAATGGTCAAAGAAAAGGAAAAAAACTTTTTGTACTACCTCCTCCTTATGTCGAATCTTTTGTAAGGAATGAACAAGAAGAACAATATATTTTTGTTAAGTACCTATCTCATGATGCTTGCAATGTATTAACAAGCTTAGGAAATCTAAGTGTTCTAAGTGACACAAAATATAACTATGATGTACTAAATATTCCGTAATTTTTAATATATATTTCCTGTTTGCTCAAAAAGAAAAAGGACCTTGGACCAAACCCAAGTTCGTATTAGTGGGCTTGATGAGACACATGGGAAGTGCACAATTAGCCACTAAATAGACATGTATTTACTCTTTAACCACTGTTTAAAATGTATTTACTCTTTAGCCAGTGCTTAATAAATTTTTACCCGCACGGACAAAAATACCCCTGTGCTAGACATGGGTGCTATGTAAATATTAAGGACACAGTGTCCTTAACTTCATGAATGTTGTGTAAATATTAAGGACAAAGTGTCATGTATTTGCACCTTCCATTGTTAAACTTTAGGACATCATGTCCTTAACTTCATATGTGCAGTGTAAATGTTAAGTACATGGCGTCCGAAACTTCGTGTGTGCAGTGTAAATGTTAAGGACATAATGTCCTTAACTTGTATTTGCACCTTCTGTTGTTAAACTTTAGGACCTCATGTCCTTAACTTCATATGTGCGGTGTAAATATTAAGGACATTGTGTGCTTAACTTTATGTATGCAGTGTAAATATTAAGGACATAGTGTCTCTAAATTTATGAGTATTGTGTAAATATTAAGGACATGGTGTCTTTAACTCATGAATGTTATGTAAATATTAAGGACAAAGTGCCTGTATTTGCACCTTCCGTTATTAAACTTTAGGACATCATGTCCTTGACTTCATATGTGCAATATGAATGTTAAGGATATGGCGTCCTTAACTTCATACATGCAATGTAAATATTGAGAACATCATGTCCTTAATATTTTGTACAGCACTACTGAGGAAAGGATAAAAATATCTTGTCGTATTAATTTTGCTCAGCATTCAAAATACCGCATAAAAACTAAATACTAAATTAAAAAGTGGTCCCACGCCATTTCTACTGAGACACAAACCATATTAAACCCAAACGCGAACACCCCCTTTCGTCCTCGCTGAACAACACAAATTCTAGTAAAGGTAGATTATACTGCTGAGGGAAAAAAAAAGAGATTATACTACTACTGTGTTTCCTTCTATAATTTCTCTTGCAGAACCCCACTTTTCACATTGCATAGGTCAGTGTCTTCTTGCTCTTCCAAGTTTTATGTAAATTGATGTTCTGATCGAAATATCTTGTGGTGTTTTGCCTTTTTGCTACATTCAATTTTCTGGGTATAATTCAATCTCGTTTCTGCTTTATTTTGTAGTTGTACTGTTAAACTTTGTAGTTTCTATTGGGGTGTTGCATCCAAGGAGCTTCAGAAACTTTTTTTTGTGCTGTTTGTTGGTAGATTTTGCTTTTGTCATCTGGGTTCTTTGTTTTTGTGCTATTGGTATGATGGCATTTTTTTGGAGATGAATTTCCTAGGTGCAATTCTTTTATTACAAATAGTTGTAGTTTTGATGGCTGTTAAGGTTTCTGCTGCATATTTCTCTCTGAATTGCAAGTGTCTGTGAATTATGATTAGTTTAAAAGATTCTTCTTTCTATGACTTCTTTTATTATCCTATTACTGGATAAGATACCACATTCCCTTATGAGTAGTGAAGTATACAGAAATTTAGTTGGATTGACAAAAAGCATAGGTTAAAAAGAATAAAGATGCAGAGTGAACAAGGGTGAAAAGAAGTATATACATTAGTGCTGTAAAAACTTCACCTTTTTGTTGTGGTAAGTTTTACCAAAAGCAATTTGAAATTGATTTCTTTGATTATCTTCTTTGAAGAAGTTCTTTGATAAGTCTATCTGTGACTGATGCGTGAGTGATGTTATTGATGAAAATAACAGTAGCCCTGAATCCTTAGTACTCAATTATATATAGGCAATCGTCTTAAAATCTAAATTCACCATTTTCTGGGAACTTACGGAAAAATCTGCAAGATGGATATAATATCACAGCTACAGGAGCAAGTAAATACAATCGCAGCTCTTGCTTTCAACACCTTTGGTACTCTTCAGAGGGATGCCCCTCCTGTTCGTCTGTCACCTAATTATCCGGAACCTCCTCCTGCTAATCCTACAGAAGATGCAGCCAATGTTGCAGAGCAACCAAAGCAAATGAGTGCTGCTTTTGTTAAGGCTGCCAAGCAGGTAAACCTCCCTACCTTCACATTTTCTTTCTGTTACACCCTCGTTTGCTTATAGATCAAGTTGATCAACTAAGATGAGCAACCCACGATATATGGATCATCTGCATGTACTTTGAGAATATCCAGGATTCCTAGAATGTAGAAATTTTTTTTTCTGGTCAAAATGATGCCTTTTCGTCTTCCCTTGACTGGTCTGTCTATTTTTTGATACCTCACATCTTCTTGTTTATGTGGACCTTTATATGCATATCATGGGGATATTTTATGTTTCATGGCTCATCCTATCTAATGTGTACATGCTGTTCTATACCAGATAACATTAAGTCTTTGTTTGTTGAGTATTGAGACCAGTGTGGTTGCGTTCAAAGACTTAGTCTGTTGTCCTTCATTTTTAACGACACATATAATAATGCTATTAACATCACAAACGACTCAAATTAAAACCCTACTTATTCGCATAATGGTCGGCAAATTCCAAATACTAGTTGAACAGAATCTCATACCTCTAGGGACTTTAACTTGAGAACTTGCTCTCAGCCTCAGGAGTTAAACCATAACATCTATGCCAAGCCTCATCGGGTAATCCTTGGTTCTTCAAAACCGGAAAACTGAATTCTAGCTTGTGGCTGTCTTCAGTGAAACACATGGAAACTTGTCATTATTTCTAAGGTGTTCAAGTTCACAGTTATATTTCCCTTGTTTTCTTCTTGGCCTCACTATCAGAGGTTGTCTGATCTAGCATCCTACCAAACTTAAGATGCACAGATGGCACTTGAGAGTAGCCTTGAAGATTGCATGGCTCTTAATTTCTACCTATTACAATGTGCTCCTAAAGTGTAGCTTTGCACAATGTTGTCGTATTCTTGAAAACATTTTTTCTTCTGTTCTTTTACCGGGCAGTTTGATGCATTGGTTGCTGCTCTTCCTTTATCAGATGGGGGTGAAGAAGCCCAATTGAAAAGAATTGCAGAACTCCAGGTATAAGCTTCTCTGTAGATAGTTTTTTTGACATATGATATTTGAGCAAGATGATGCTCTGTCTTCCTCTAATTCCAATGCCATATAGTTACTGAGCAACAGAAGCTCTATGTAGTTAAATTAAAAAGGATAAATGAATATTAGTCTGTCATTCCGTTTTATGGAAAAGGGCCAAATATACCCATGTACGATGAGAAAATGTTTAAATATGCGCCTCGTTATACTTTGGGTCCAAATATACCCTTGCCGTAATACTATTGGTTCAAATATACCCCTCATCCGTTAAGTTTGTCCAATGTGGACATCCAATTCTACATAGCACTAACATTTTATGAGGTAAATGCCACGTGGCATGCCACCTCAACGCCCCTAACCCATTTTACCCCTCCCTTCTATTTTTTTTTTCTCACCACTAAAATTTCCTTCCGTCCATCACCATGAACAATATTGTATTTCATTGCCCACATATTCTCCAGCAACATTGTCCCACAGGGGACATGAAAAACCTCCAACGACACACTCATCCGAGGATGCATGTGGCTCAAGAATCGGAACAACTGGGTACATTCGAAAAGTTTTTTTTATGATTCCATGGAGATAAGGGAGTTGAGCAAGGTTTGAGTCATCAAGTAATCTAGTAATCTTGGTGACTGTCCTATGTGAGTGTCTATTTCGTTTTGAGCTTTCTTTAGTGCCTCAGGATTGTTCAGAAGAAGTGATAATGCCCACTCCTTTGTGCTAGCTGTAGTATCAGTCCCTGCTGATAACATGACTTGTCCCATGCCCCTTATCACTTCATCTGTGTAATAATCAGGTTCTGAATCTTGGAGTGATAGAAGAACATCATCAATCATGGAGTTGTTCTTTTGCTCAAAAGAAGATCCATTTCTGTTGTTCTTGTGCTCTTCAATCAAATCTTGCATGAAGTTGTCCCTCTTCTCCTGCAATAACTTCAACTTGGGCCATATCAGGAACACCTATAATCTGCTCCTCTGCAAATATAAAGTGTGCGTCTTCTCCAAGTGGCTTTTCTTGTAATGGTGCCAATGAAATACAATATCGTTCATGGTGGCGGTAATGGTGGCAATGGTGGTGGAGGGGAAGGAACTTTTAGTGGTAGAAAAAAAAAATAGAAGAGGAGTAAAATTGGTTAGGGGCGCTAAGGTGGCATGCCACATGGCATCTACCTCATCAAATGTCAGTGCTACGTAGGATTGGATGTCCACATTGGACAAACTTAACGGATGAGGGGTATATTTGAACCAATAGTATTACGGCAAGGGTATATTTGGACACAAAGTATAACGAGGGGTATATTTAAACCTTTTCTCATAGTACATGGGTATATTTGGCCCTTATCCGTTGTGTTTTTGGGCTGAGTGTTTTTGTCTGCATTTTACCCAATAACTCTTACTCTCTGTATGTGATGTAGGCTGAGAACGATGCAGTTGGCCAAGAACTTCAAAAGCAACTGGAAGCTGCAGGTAAGGATTTATTCCTAGTGTATCTGACATAATTTTGGTTTTGGAATAGGCATTTATTACACAATACATGGCTATGCACATACTGACCGAGATGGTTGTAACTGATTGAGCATTACTTCTATCTATTCAGTCTTCCACAGAACCTATATCCTTTACTTAACTGCAGAATTTGTGGTGGGGGAAAGTCAGCATTCATGTATTTGTTTTCCTTCTGAGAGAGTGGTCAAAGTTGTTCTAGTTAGGCTAAAGTCCAAACGTCTATGTACCTTTTAATATTTTCTGTTTATTCTGAAACTCAGTTTGATTTTGTTGATTTAGAAAAGGAGCTAAAGCAGGTTCAGGAGTTGTTTAACCAAGCAACGGATAACTGCCTGAACCTTAAGAAGCCAGAATGAATTAAGCTACTAGTACATATTTCAGTTTTGATGGAACTAATCAGACAGTATTTACTTAAGGAGGCCCTCTTCCTGGAATATGTCTTGGAAGAACAACAAATCGCCTGCGTCAGGCTTCTTATGGGTGCATTTACTAACTGGTCATGTATAAACTGGCTGTGTTCTGGTATTTCCGTTTGAAGTTCTTGGCCCGCTGCTGCAGAAAAAAATTCAGTATTCCATGTGAATCTGATGCAGATCTTCGTTTATTCTTAAATGGAAAGACATAGGAATGATGTGTTTTAAAAGCAAATTCAGCAGACATAGGAATGAACTTCCTATTCCTTCTATCCAACCATAACATTAGCGTCTTCTATGAGATGAGCACTATTTGGAAAGTTGGTTTATATGGTTCTCTGCTCCAACAGTTTTATGTTGTCAAAAGTATTGCAATTAATGGATGTGTATTTTCTTAAACATGCAATCCAAAACAAGGGAAGGACTTTGATCGTTCTATTGTTTTGATTTGTTTACATTTTTTATAGAGTTTATCCAACTACACACTACTAATACGTGCCTGGATACTTCCAACTGTAAAATGCCATCGTCCTCGATATTGCCAAATCGAGTAGCTAAACTTGCTCGTTTATTATAACTGCTGCGACTTGGAGGCTTTCAAAAATATATTTTAATTGGTTAGTCGGAGTGAGATAAGAGAGTAACAGTCATACTCAATGTTCAGAGCACCAAGATAAGTTTATAAAACCACAGCTCACGTATCTAGAAGTTAGTGAACTTAGGATCGCATGAGGCTTCCATATGATTGAAACTACGGAAAAGAGTTATAAATGCTCCTAAACTATTGAAAAAGGTTTTAAAATAACCTTCATCCACCTACTTCATCCACCTATTGGGATAAAAATACTCCTCCATCCACATTTTTAGTTCACTTATGTCCTTTGACCGTTACGTCAATACTGAATTAAGAATAATCATTATTTCAATTTCATGTGGCAACTTCTTATTGGCCAAAATTAAAACATCTAACCCATTAAAAAGACTCACTCATATCTACCAGTTTTTCGTACTAACCCGCTACAAACACTAATCCGGACCGAACAAAAAGTTTAACTAAAAAAAGAGGCCTCACTTCTATCAAACTCCATGGAACAAAAGCTACATGGAAGTTGCAGCGAACATATAAACGCAAATTTACTACGTGGTTTTCTTTTTCTTGTTGTGGCATCCAGTTCAATTTACATGATAGACACAAATTGCATTAGATTCAAGATGAGCTTAATTTAATCATTTTCACATAACGAAAAGATCTCAAAGTGATTGTTTGGAAGATATCATAAACCCTTGGACTACCCCTAATTTTCCGTCCCACATTATTGTCAAGAAATCATTGACTCATTCATGCCATGCTTTTCTTATTTGTTTAATTTGTTCATGAACCTTTATTCGATGATAATGCTATACATGAGATTAATCAAGAAAATGAACACATAAATCCATGGGTTAGATGGAAGTGGGACGTCATTTTTTTATTTGAACTTCTTACTCGGGTTCGGTTAGTGTTTAGGTCGGGTTGGTCGGAAAAACGGATAGATATAGGTGAATCTTTCTAATAGGTTAGATGTTTTAATTTCGACCAATAAGAAATTGCCACGTGAAATTTAAATAATTATTTTTTAAATTCACCATTGACCCAACGGTCAAAGGACATAAGTGAACCAAAATAGTAGATGGAAGGTATTTTTAGACCTTTTTCAATAGTTCAGCAGCATTTTTGACCCGTTGAAACTAACCAGATCACGTGGCAATTTGCATCAATCTAAAGTTTTTCCTACATTAATATATGACACTAACACAGAAGAGATCTCTGCCATGGAGAGTAGCATAGCATCAGGGAATCCAAAAGACGAACAGAAAACTTCAAGTCAGTTAGGATCTTAAAACGATGCCTTGTGAGCTTCTCATCTGAATACAACGGAGAACGAGTCGCAAATGGATTATTATGTATGCAATTATTAAAGAAACCATTAACCACTATAGAAAGGTCAACCACCGTCTGCCAAAATGAAGTTTTAATCATTGTCAGAGAATAGCAAACAAGCACATGCCCTCTACCTCTCCGAGGTCTTCAAGTATATGTAGATCTCATATCTAGGAAACAAAAGTGCGACATGAAACATAAAAAAATAAAGAGCAGGCAATAAACTAAAAAATGTAGTGAAATATATTGTATCCCCAAGAACTAGCCTACAAAAGTTTCCAAGACCCATAGATAGTGAAATATACTACATCTGGATGCCAACAGAGAATCCCCTGCGCTCCCCTTTTAACGCTAGTAAGTAGTCATGCAATGAACCACTCAGCAATTCATTCGACCAGCAGATCACTGCAAAAACAAAGTGAAATGAGTATCGAATACATCATCATTTTCCATGAGTTGCTGTTATAGTTTAAATTTCAACTTTTTGTTCCCCAGTTAAACCAGAAACAAAATCATGGAGAAAAGATAAGCAGCAGTCAACAGCTAAAACATATTAATAACCTAAAAGAATGTTGAATCCATTTTATTCAAAAAAGGAGATGGGTTATTAATTTAAGTTATAAATAAGCTCAACGGGTTGATCAAACCTGAGGCTGCTGCAACATTTGCTGCTGTTGTTGAGGTTGTGTGTAATTCCCATATCCTGCATAGCCCGACGCATAATATAGATTTGGATCTTGAGTAGGTGGAGCATAACCATACGCCTCATATCCAGGTGTATACCCATAATAACCGCCATATTGGGTTGGATCAACCTGAGGCTGCACAACCAGAAACACATAGTTCATTGGTACCAACCGAGAAGTGCCAAAACCAGAAATTAGAATATTGGCATTACTAAATAACCTGCTTGTTTGCAGGACTACGACCCCAGGAAAGACGGATGCTTTGTCCACCAAGCTGAGTTCCATTTAGTGACCGTAGAGCTTCCTCAGCACAACTTCTGCAATAACAATGATGGCTCAGGTGTTAAGCCTCCAAGCATTGAGATTGATCATCTTCAGAAGGCATATTACTGTACCTGTCAGCAAACTGAACAAAGCCACACCGCTTGCCTACCGGTATTTTTACATGAAGCAACTGTCCATAATGTCCAAAAATCTGCCTCAGATGCTCATCTGTTACATTGGTATCCACGTTCCCAACAAAAATCTGCAACCAAATTCATTTGGATATGAGTACAAGCTGACTGAATGTCAAATTCTGCCAGAAAGAAATGTACTCACAGTGGTATTAGAAGGGTCATCCTCATTTTGAGTTCCAGGTGAACTTTGATACGAAGCTGCAAAAGAAAGAGGCAAAGGTGAGGGAAGAGGGAGGAAAATTTTATGCTTCATGAGTAAGATGGAATACAAAAGAACAAGCTTATGTACCATAAACCATCACAAGAAGGCAAAGGGGACAACCACCATCAGTAATACAAATCATTTTGTACAACTTTCTTGATAACAGAATGCTATTACATATGATTCAAGAGATAAAACACACTGTCATTTCACAATTATATAGATCATGCATCAGTCGGATGATTGCATAGCCCCAAAAGAGCAAGAAGGATATCCTACAAGTCCCAAAAGAAACAGAATATGCATCCGAACACAAACTGACAGGCATTTGAAAAACAACTGACAGGCTTTGGCTAAACTGTTAAAGGTCGGGAGGCATGTCTAAAAGTTTGGAGAGGAAATCACGCATTTGAGAAATGGAAACATATCTGAACTGTTGGATCACCAAACATGAGGTTACTTTGCATACACAACGGATATGTCCGATGTGCTTGTGGGAGTATGGAAGCAGAAAGAGATTTATGTTTCAAATTTGTCAAGGATAGACACAATTAGGCGAAGGGACAAAATGAAGAGTGAAGACCAATATATGAGTAAACAAGTAGAAAAATATTCTCAAGATGCATATTCACCACTAGGTGTCCTGCAGTTTCTGAATAATTTCCCGACTTCCCAGCCTGCATGGCATTATCTCATTAACTTTCCCAGCCAATATGGCATTATCTCATTACATCCTATCTCATGCGTTAAGATAATTATAATGCTTTACCATGTGCCTGTTAAACAAGAGGTGATAAAAGGCAGAAAAGGGGTTAGTAGTTTCCAGTGGGGGGGG